TAGCTTGGCGAAGAGAATACCAGCGTCGGATGTGATGTTCGGTCCAACCTCTATCAAACCAGTATTGCACCGTCTCTGCAGGTATGTGCTGACGAGCCAATCCAGGTTCATTCCAGCCTTTTAGCGCTGTAATTGGCCTTCTGGATGTTCTTCTTCTTGATGCTGATCGTCTTGAGGCGGATTTCTCCGCGTGCGTTCCCTCCGTCGGGGAATGTGCGCTCTCGGCGCCTTCCCTGGCGGGCCACTTGAAGTTCCCGCCTCAGGAGGACGAGGGCGCTGAACACCGCTCGAACGAGCACCACTGGAGCGGGCTCGCGCCCGATCTGGTGACAGACTAGGAGCTCGACCGCGACGTGCAACGCGGTCACCCTGTTCGTCTTCGTCGTCCATTAGCGAAAGGTCGTAGTGATATTTCTTTTTCCTTATGAAAGGTAGGCGGCGCGGCGATTGCCTCGGACTGCCCGCGTGCCAATCTGACTCAGAAGATGCGCACTGACCTCCTTCATTGTGTCCAAACTCATATTGAATACGTTCATATAGGTCGCCAGCGTCTCGCGGGTTCCCCCGCAATGGATCATCGTCGATCGATTCCGCGTTAGTCGGACTTCCAATCACCCGAGGATAGAGCACGGCCCGAACTTCTTCATCCGTCGCAGGAATGGTGGAATCAGGGTCCGCGGGTGCCCCCGCCATGCCGAAGTCGCCTTCGACGGGCACGTGGAAATTCTCGACAAACTCAATATCTGCAGGTTGCCCCGCGATGTGTATACCCAGCAACTCTGCCAAGTCGATGTCGCTGTGGCCGGTGAACGCCTCTTCGAAGATCTCGTCGGCGCACTTCTCGAGGTTCATGCTGGCACACAAATACCTGGCAGCCATGAAAAGGATAACTGTGGCTGGGCCGTCAGCATGGCCGGCCAAAAGCGACTCCCAATCGACGCACTGCATGTCGGAATCCGTTTGAAGCAAATTCATTGACGGACCCCTGCCTCTTCCATCGCCTTGGGGGCACTCGCGTCGGAAACGTTGCGTGCTGTGGCATATGTCGCACTCCATACTTTGACCGTTGGCATCCTTTGGGTTCCCTCGTCGTCCTTTACCTTTACCTGGCGTATGCCTGCGGTTCCTGCCAGCACCTAGAAACATTCTTCATACTGAGGCCCAGCGAGAGACGATAGGAATGCTAGTATGCCTCTCCCGTGTAGTCGCCGAGGCTTACCTTCGCCTGTACTTCGACCCTTGCCTTTTCCTCTGAGCGTCCGCCGTGCCATGCGTCTTACCTTTCTGACTGATTTCTCCATGAATATCCGCCAACGACGCCTTTGTTTTTGACAGCCCAAAAATAATCACTGAGCTCGCTGCTCCTCAGTAAAGTATGTAGGCATATCAGAATTGTCCAGCGCGGTAGTTTCAACATCAGAGGGCGCATCGGTGTCGGTACCGGAGTCGAGATCGGACTCGGCGGGTTGCCCCGCATAGCCCATTAGGGTCATAGCTTGTACAGGGAAGACCGCGTCGGGTGGTCCCCTAGATCTGGCCCGAGGGTCTTGCGACCCCGAGGCCGTGCCGCCATTCCGGGCCAACAATGTAGTGGTCTCAGACGGCGGCATATCATCGTCCCCGGCGTTGTTAGCAGGTTGCCCTGCATTGGCCTCTGTATGGAAGGTCTCGGTTCGGTGGCCGTGACCAGAAGCGCCACCGATATTGCAAGGGGTTCTCTCAGCTATGTGAGCATATGACCTCATACGTTCGAGGAAAGCATCACGTTGTGCTTGGTCCCTCGGCATATGGCGGTTCAGAGGCTGCAGGAGCTGCTGCGCCCGCGACGCCCCCACTCCCAGAACTCTGGATAAAAATACTGCTAATATCTGGAAGTTGGGGATGTTGAAGCCGGCGGCTTCTGCTTCGTAGCGGGCTTTATCGAACCGTGCTAACGACTGGTCGATTCTTTCCCCCGCGTGGACACGAAAGTCAATGAGAGCAGTGCCAGACTTGAGTTGGCGTTCCTCTTCCAGGTTCTCGAACTTCATACTTAAGAGGAACATAGTGTAGGTGACGCCATCGGTGTGGCGACCGCCTATATTGACACCAAAATTGATGTCTGCTGGGGGAACTCTCATGGCTATGGTCCGTGCGGGCCCTCCAAGACCGCGCTGGAGCGCGGCGGCCTGTTGGGAGGACGTCACGTTGCCTGTGGTCACGTTGATCCAGGCGTGTACCTCGCGGACAAACTCGCGAAATGGTACTTGACCGGCAGGGTCCCAATTGGGACCGGTCGTCCTAGTGTCGTCTCCGCCCCGCATATGTCCCACCGCATATCCAAGAGCGACCCCGATGAGCCCAAAGATAGTAACCCCATTCCAATGGCCTCGTAGGTCGTAGTCGGGTGTAGTCGGTGGAGACTCGTGTTTTGTCGTCGTAAGTCTGCGAGGGGTCGGAAGCGGCAGTGTATCGTTTCGCATGTTTCCATGCATTATATGTTCGAAGAAATTTCCACTTGGAGTAGGTGGGTGGACTTCAGGAGTGTAGTAGCGCAGGGATGTAGAATATAAATGAAAAGGCCCTCCGCAGGAGCAGAGGTGTAGTTGCAACTTTTCTTGCGGTACTGCGTATCAATGTACACTCCTTCGCGCAATGCCACTGCACCCTGATGTTCCACCGTAACTGTAGTCCGCCACATAGTGCCGTGGATGGTGAGGAGTAGAGCTAGAGCTGACCACCATAGGCCAGCTCCGCTACCAAGTCCGAAGGGGGTTGGGAGGCCCCGCCAACAGCTTCGCCTCAGGCGAAGCTAAGTCCAGCTCGGTTGTATCGTAGTAGCGATAGTCCCAAATGCAAGAGGGAAAGCCATGTCAAGTAAAAGGGGATGCCTATTACAATCGATAGCGATAGTGTGCCTCGCGGTGAAGCACAGTCAAATCTAGGCGGCCGGCCGCTTGAACCAAGACGGCCGCGGGCGCACGCTCGTTTCCGCTCCTTACGTCCAAGATGGCCTCCAAGCGGCCGAGGAGGCCTCCAAGATGCCCCAAGAGGTCTACAAGAGCACTCCCAAGAGGGCACCAACAGGCAAGACTCATTGGTTCCGATTAAGTGTTCGAGGGATTTGGGCGTTTCCGCCTCTTCGGGATCCCGACGCTCCAAGGCGGCCCAGTATGCCCCCAAGACGCCCAAGATGGTACCGAGACAGCCCAAGAGGTCCCCAAGACGGCCCAATATGGAGACGAAACCGCCCAAGAGGTCCCCAAGGACGCCCCGAGAGGGATCCCAGAGGAGGGGGACGCGAACCTAGATTTTGAACCATCCGCCCCAAGAGGGCCCCAGGAGCCCCCAAGAGGCCACCAAGAGGCTTCCCCAGAGGCGCAACAACTGCCCCCCAGAGGTCATCGAGCCTTCCGACGAGATCCCAAGAAACATCCATGAGGACACTGACCCACAACTCACAACCCAGGCACGGAATGGGCCGAGGGGGGGGGATCCGCCGCCCCTTGTGGCTTGCCGCAGGGGTGGACGGTGTGCCAAATTTGCACAATTGTTGTTGTTTTCTACGGTTCCCAAAAGCCTTTGGCCCAACCCGTGGGCCATCCGGAACGCCGCGGAGATTTAGTATTCCGTCGGTCTTGCCACGCAAGACGGCCCTAAGATGGCCTCCAAGACTGCCGAGGTTTTCTCCAGGAATGCATCCACGGAGACAACAGAGCCGAAGATGCCTCCACGACGGACCGAAACGCTTCAATATGGCCCGCGAGGCCCCCAAGACGGCTCAAGAGGCCTCAAACACCGCCCAAGAGGCCTCCACGAGGACCTCGAGGAAGGCCTAAAGGGGTCAAAATCATTGAGGTGCCGTAGGTGTTTGAAGGAGTTCGGCGTTCGCTCATTCTCGGCTTCCTGATGGCCCAAGACGTACTCACAGGCCTCTAAGGTGGCCCCGAGAGCGACCAATTGGCCTCCGAGACGATCCCCTGACTGCCCAAGAGGCCCCCAAGACGGCCCTAAGAGGACCCCAAGACGGCCCAGGAAACCTCCAAGACGCCCAAGACGGCATCCCAAACGGCCTTGATGCGCCCCAAGAGGGCCCGACGGCGGTGATTCGCCGTAGGCGTCTTCGACAATTTCTGTTTTTTAACCATCAATTCGACCTCCTGATTGGCGCCTTGGGGGCCAGGGCCTCTTGGAGGCACCTGGAGTCTTCCTGACACGCTCTGGGAACCATCTTGGAGGCTGCTGACGCTCTCCTGGGCCCTCTTGGGACAATCCTGGGTGCTCTCTGAGACGGCACAGGAGATCGCAGCGGCCACGACTACCCGCTCAGAACAGCCCTAGAAACATTGCGGTACCGAAGGTCCTGGCGACAAAAACGACGCCGACGATGCCAAATATGATCAACGATGGTAGCACTGACCGGTGATGTTACGATGGCAATGATGACTCAAGGATGCTGATGACGAGGATAGGTGCTGGACTACAATCATGATGGCGATATGCTGTTGATAGCGACAGGCCGAGGGCGATATGATCAGACACTCTCCAGTGCCAGTGTAATGGCCGTCCAACCGATGTAATCTTTCAGTCGAACGGGGGCGAGGCGGGAGAGCAACAACAACAACAACAACAACAACAACAACAACAACAACAACAACAACAATCAAGTGAGCAAGAGGAGCAGGAGCAAGACCGGGTGCAGCGGAGAAATGGAGCAGGAGATGCGAGAAACAGGAGCAGTGGGACGAGGTGCAGGAGCAGTCGGGAGGGAGGAACCAGGAGAAGCAGGAGTAGGAGGGAGGAGGGGAGGAAGCAAGAGGGCAACCTGCCCACCCGGAACTCAGTTGGAGCCTAACGGGTTTGACCACGAACACCCCTGTGAACCGCTAGTCTTCGGCAATCTCCTGCACGAGAAATGAGCGGTCTGGCTTCCCAAGTGGTCAGGATCGAGCACCTGACGCGGAGGTGGGGCGAGGGAGGGAGTGAGGGAGGGACGGTTCGAGCACCCTTGGCCGAGAGATGAGGAGGCCATACAGCGGCGCGGCCGCTCTACCAGGCTGCTCCGATCAGACGCGCCCCCTGAGCGTCTTGCGCTGAATCAGCAGGGCCTGGCCATCGAGGATAGACAACGCTTGTTTGAGTCCAGAGATTTCGGCAGCGCGGCGGTCCGCACGCTCGGCGTACGTCTCCGGCTTCGCGACGCACATGTCCTTGAGCTTCGCGAGGTACTCCAGCACTGCATCCAGCTCCTCCTGCGTCGACGCCCGATCGGAGGTGGCCTCGACCACCGCCTTGTCGAGATCGGCGGCCTCCTTCCCCTGGTACTTGATATCCTGGTCCTTGGCTGTCTTCTCGATCTTGTTCTGCATTGTGGTCGACGAATACTCGGACGCGGCGCTGTCCTCTGTGGCGGTAGCTTCCGCGAGGCTCTTGGTGAAATCCGACAGACAAACTTCCAACAGCCCCAGGATGCTCGAACCAGCATCCGAGGCCGCCGCGTGGTCCTTGGCTCCACCGCCGTAGTACTCGCGCAGCGTCTTCATCGCCGTCCGCACGCCTGAGATCCCCATCGTCAGCTCTTTCTTCTGCTCGAGGAAGAGCTCGTTCTCGGCAGCCCTCATCTTATCCATCTGCGCCTGCGAGGCCGCCAGCTCAGAGAGCTCCTTCTGCAGAGTGGCGATGCTGTCCTTCAGAGCAGCAGACCTGGCAGTCATCTGGTTGATCTTCGTGGTCAACTTCTCAACCAAAGTGGTTTTCTCGTCCTGCTTTTCCGTCGTATCGGCCATCTCTGTATCGCAGTACTTCTTGTGCTTGGCGTCCGCCCCAGACTCGGCCTCGAGCTTCTGGATCATGTCTCCGATGAGAGACTTGACCTTTGTGAACGGGTCCTCGCCGCTCGCAGAGCTGAAGCGCATCGCCGACGACATGCGCTGAGCGAGTTGCGCCAGCGCTGGCGAGTGGAACCTGCGGCCGAGCTCGCGGACGAAGCGTGCTGCCTCGAAGTTGGCCAGGTCGGCCCCGGAGCGGACTGCGGCGCTCGAGCGGCCCAACTGCAGAAAGGAAGGGGTGGTCTGGCTCAGGCCGTAGGCGACACCCCCGGCGCCGCTGGTGGTCTCGGACAGCACCTTCTTCGCCGCCTGCACCGCCTTCAGCTCCTGGGCGCGGCTCGAAGCCTCCGCGGCGTAGTCGTCGGCGTGGGCTGCGCAATCCTTCTTCAGCTCCTCGAGGGCGGCCTTGTCGCCCGCCAGGTCCTTGGATCCGGCAGCCAGCGCCCCCTCGGCCTCGGACTTGGCCTCGCCGCTAGCGGCGGCGGACTTCTTGGCCTCGCCCATGTCCTTGGTGGAGAACTCGATTTCGTCCTTGAGCGATTGAGCGAGCATCTCAAAATTATGCCTGGCCGAGGTCTCCTTCTTGCGCGCGGCGTCCAACTGCGCGGTCGCCTTGTCCAAAAGGTCCTCCAGCACGTCCACGATGCCACCGCTCTTGCTCGTGTAAGTCGCGGCCTCTGGGGCGCCAGGCTCTTCGTCGCTATCCTCAGCCGCCTGGGTGTTCTGCATAAAAGATGCGAGGGTGTTGGCGTCGGCGGCGCTGAACGCGGAGGCCTTCACCAGTGCCTGCAACGCCTGGATCACAGATGCGGTGCTCTTGACCTGGACAAAGGCAGCGCCACCGGCCTTGGACATCTCCCTCTGCAAGATGCCGATTGCCCTCTGCAGTGCGCTGATGGTATCAGTGAGCTCCTTCTCCTCGGCAGCGAAGTCCGCAGCCTCTCCTTGTTCTCATCCTTCACCTTGGCACTCGTCCGCAGTGAACCATTTCATCAGGATAGTATGTAATAGTAGCAGCCCATACTCCCATACACTGAGGTACTGGCTGAGGGAATCGCAAAGTCTTCCCTGCTGCATTGTAACTGAGAAAGTTTTGTTGCCTTAAGTGCCCTCTCGGCGACGAAAGGTTCAACAATAGCATCTATGTGAGGAACTACCAGTATGTACACTGATGATCCACTTTGTGTATACCATAACATATGAGAAGTCATCCTTGATGTAGCTCATGTTTGATTCCAAGAGAAAAAACTGCCGTTGGCTGCCTCTTCAACTGATAAACCATATGAAGCTGCCCTCGCATGCAATGCAAGGGGCCAATATACAGTGGACATACGAAAATATTTGAGCCCACCATGTCTCAATAATAAGTAATCACAGCGCCGACCGAGGGGGAGCACGCTCCGTCGCGATTAAGGCATCGTGGCCACCAGTAATGGCCCTACGGGTCCTCCCCCTCGGCGATAGTCTATAAATGCATCCAGCAACCCAAATGCATCCAGCAAAACCAGACTCACCGCCACCCCTACGCGCTGTTGTCCTGCGAGCGACCTGAGTCCAACAGGCAGGTGCACCTGAGGGGTGGACAGTGGCTGTGCGACTAAACCAGGTAGTTAGCCTGGATTTTGCGTCCTAACGCCCTCCACAAAGAGCGGCAGTAAATTGCTGAAATCTTCTAGTCGGTGCTGTGGAGCCACAAAGAGTACAAACCAATTCCTTGTCCTTTTGATCCGCTCGATAATGTGTGAGAACGTGACAACGGTTACCTGGAATCTTGGTCCTCTTGTTATGCTCATCCACCATGATTACGTAGTCAGCAGCGGTACGCTTCTTGCCAAGACGTGGGCCACGTGGAGCTCCAGGTTGACAAAGAAGGCGCGACCATGAGCCAAGCTGGCTCACTTTTGACTCGAGTTTGCAATTGACGCACACCAGTTTGGCAGGTTGATCCTTGTTCGGCCCCTTCAGAGGGGCAAGCACATGATATCCCTGTTGGCGTGCATCTCGGTTATGCAGAAGTCTTTTCTGCTCGTTCTGAAGATCTCGGCCTGTGAGGCCCTCCCAATCTTTCTTCTCCTCGTCCGTCCAAGTGATGGTAGCTCGCATGACCTTGACAGTAGTGACATGATGAGCCCGTCGCACCACAGAGACATGTTCAGCTGCAGCGGCGGCCCTTGCAACAATGTCGCTTGGCCTCACCGTAGTTGACAGGTTCTCGGCTAGCTTCGGAGGTTGCCATATGGGCTTGGGTACCGAACCCCAAGCTGGCTGCACTCGAATGCCTTTTGTCTTCTCCGTCGTCGCCAAAGCCACGCATATAGTACTCGCATCGTGTGTTGGTGGTCCACAAACACTGGCCTGCACTTGAAGCCAGGCACTGCACGTATACCCAGTGGTGATAAGGCACGAATCTCTTTAAAACATTCACGTGGTCCCAATTTGCACTTGCACAAATAGCCCATCCGAGTAGCAGCTGTCGAGAAGTATCTCGCCATGCGCTCGAGAGTAGCAGTCTGTGGATCTTCCGCCGGCGTGACCAACGGTAAACCAGTACAGATAGTGAAGTCAATCGCCAACTCCGCCCAAGAAACAGACATGGGTGCCATTGGTGTATCATCAGCAGCCCATCGAAGTTGCGAGAAGTACCAAACAATCGCAGGGAATAAAGCCTGTTGGTAATACCAATCCTTGCCTGTCAGTATCTCTGGAATCTGTGGTTCGAATTCCCACTCTGGCAGGTTCACCTCAACAGGGTCCCAGGGATAACCAGGAAAGGCCATCTTCGGACTCCAAGTCAGGGGATTGGTAGTCATCTGATCCAAAGCTGGTCGTACCCACGTGGAGCTTGACGACGCTGATGTTGCAGGGTCCACAGCCGGTCGTGATGATGAGGCTGGGGTGGTTGTCGGTGGCGTATCTGTAGTACATGATGTCGCTGTAGGTCGCGGTGTTTTGCTCCTCAGGCGGCGCATTGGTGTTCGTGCAGGTTGGCCTTCACTCTGACAGCTGCGAGGGGTGTCCGCAACTGCCGTTGTAGCTGCAGCCGTCGGGCTGGCAGAATAACCATCCTGTGTCAGGGTCGGTGAGACAGTCGTTGGCGATGCCTCGGTCCTGAGGACCAGGGGCGTTGCAGCTCGCTGTTCACTTGCTTCATTTGTACCGTCATCGTCCATGCCGAGGTGAGCCCAAGGATCCTCAGCATCCTCATCAGGCCATTGGGGGTCTGCACCTTCCAGTTCGGCATTTTGCATAGCTTGGGCTTGAGCGCATCGGGCATGATGAGTATCTCTTCCCATAGCTTGGAGTTGCTTTGCACGTGCAGCCAAGACAATCGTGGCTGTGTGCTGAAGAGTATAACATAGATGCTGATCTCGCAGGTGTTGGTGTCTGATATCCTGTGGCACACTATGTTGGCGTGCAGCTTGAACAGCACTATCATCTGCTCGTTTGTTAGCCTCCCAGTCAGGTAGATCTTCTGGGGGTACTTCATCTTTTTTGCGATGTGCTTTAATCTTTTCAATGCGGAAACAATCTGAACCTTTCGCAGCGACTCCTGTGGCGATAGCTGTCCACAGGTCACGATGCTGACGAGGCTTAATAGTCACACCATTCAGGATGGCAGTAAAATTTCTGACGCAGTATCCGCTGTCAGTGAGGTAGAGCTGTTTGGACCATGCCCAGGATACAAAGTGTCGTAAGGCACTGACTTCAGCCCTCTGAGCTCCTTGTGAGACGCTCCTCAGCGGGACAGAAACGTTGCAGGGGTGGTTCTCTCCATAGTAGAGACCGTAGCCAGATCTGCGTAGGCGTAGGTCTGACGCCTGCCCAGGGCAGGCACCATCCCCTGCCACCACTAAGTATCCTTCCTTCTCGCGTGTGGTGCTGTGCTCGTCTTGACCTGGCTCGTAATTCCCATCTGCATGGTGAGGGGGAGGTGGAAGGTCAGGTTCATCAGGCAGCAGCTCAGTTGCGAAATTGTCATATACTGGTCTGTCTGGACAGAGGCCACATTGTCGGTAACATACAGGTAAGGCCAGAATCTCCTCCTTCGTGTAGTGGTCAAGCAACGGTTGGCGCTGCTGAGCCCACTGCGGGCAATGCAAGAGGATATGATCCATATCTTCATCAGGGTCTCCACAAAAAGGGCAGAATCGATGATCTCGTTGGCCCGTGATGTGGTGAAGCCTGTGACCTGTGACAGTTGCTCCTTGGAGCAAGGCTCGCAGAAAGGGTAATTGTTCTCGTGTCAGCTTCGGCACGGCAACATCCACTGCATCCAGTAGGAGTGGAGGCTGAGGCTTGACACTGTCAGGGTTGTCCTCTTCGTCATCATCTGGTCGTAGACTGCGTTCAGCTCGCCTGAGGATGGCCGTTGTAATATGATAATTTATGCCGTGCTTGGAGCCGAGCATATCTTTTCTCTCCAGCAACTGAGGATCGGTAGACCACACCCAGCGACGCAGGTCTTCTCGAAGTACATGCTGCCACCAGCCCTCAGGATGCTTTGCCAAGTAGACCAGCTGACCATTGGCACGCTTGAAATAATCAAACTCAGGCCAGGTCCAGCCAAGGTCGCTCAGAACTGTAAGAATGCGGCCGATAGGCCCACCATCTGTCACACTGGTCGAACGAGACTTCATTATCTCCCAGCAGGCTTTAGCTCGGGGTAGGAGGCGCGGTGCAGCTGGGCTTGTGAAGAGTCGCCGAACGACTTGCAGGGGTTGTGCCGTCGATATTTGAATCGGATCGAGGCAATGTCCTTTGGTAATCAAGGTGAAGGTGATGGCTGGTGAGCGATACGCACGCCGCTTGTGCCATAGGGACTTCATCACTGAGCTTCTGAAATTCAGATGGTTGTGTCTGGGTAGTCGTCGAAACTCCAGGCCTGGTGCTAGTCTAGGGAGTGCAGCCGTCGCTAATAGCTGCTGCTTCCCACGAAGTCCCACGGGGGCTCCTCCAGCACGGCGTGATACTCGGTATGCAGATTCATAACGTAGTCGGCGTTGTCGAGCAGGACAAGAGCCCAGAGAGACAATCTCACCGCCTACCAATATGAAGTGTCTGGTCATGATAGGTGTGTGTCCAGCCGCACGCAGGGCGAAGGACAGCTCATTCTCGGCTTTGTGCGTTGTTGCATAATGCTTAGTCTTGCTGAGGTTCGTGACTGTGCCACTGAGGTTGTCAAACTCCAAGGATATACTGGTGGCACGTGTTGTTCTCGCAGCATGACCTGGTCCTTCGGCGCGAAAGTTTCCATCATCAATGAAACTGCTGACTCTGACGGGGCCCTCGGCTTCCAGAGCTTTGGACCAGACCGACATGAGGGCAAGCGCCTGCTGCAAGGACCATGAGTCTCCTTGAACAAATCCATTCTTTCTGGTAGTTGGAGGGCCCACAGCTTGTGCCACCTTCCAATGTGTCGATAGAGCAGCATAAAAACTCTTCTCCGCAGCGAGAACTCCTGCAGGGCAACCTAGAGCTTGCATGAGTCGATTGCCGATATCATGTTCCAGTAAATCAAAGAACTTCTTCCTGTCAGCGGTACGCCCCGATAACGACGTACCCGTGAGTTGGCTGTGTTCAATTTCCATATTCAACTCCCATGCGATAGATTGGTAATGGTGCCCAGATCTTGCACCTGCAGCTCCATGATGGAGCCACTCTTCTCTCCAGGGAGACATCTGCTGGAAACGGTCGCCTGTCAAGGCAGTGTAGATTGGCGAAAGGTTGGTGATCGGCCGTGTTTGATCAACCGTGGCCAGCCACACTTCATCTGGTTCACAGGTCGAGGCAAGGTCTGCCTCTGGATCCCATTTAGGTAAACAGGACGTGATACCCGTGCACATAACATCTGGCCAGGGAAGCCACTGATCCTCAATACCTTTTAGGGCAACGGCTATCAGCTCGCAGATGGCAAGAGGCAGCAATCGAAGTTCGCCGACTCGCCAGCCATCGGCTGCCACAGCACGTGTAATTCCCATTTTTCTGAATTGCTTAAGCAGCCTGGAGCCTGTGATGTCGGTGATGGTACACTGGCAGGAAGGGATGTAGCGTCCAA